AGTGTGTTAATAGAAAGGGGGCATCTCATTTTGAAAATTCAATAAAATTATTTAATAAAATTAAATATAAAAGCATTTCGTTTCTGTTTAAAATTCTTAAATTTGAAAGTTTTTTAGTCCCTATTTTCTTCCATACGATCTTTTGTATTTATTTATTTTGTATTTTAAAACTGTTATTACTTAGTGTATATAATTATATGCAACACAATCCACCTAAATAATTTAATTTTGTTCAACTAATAAATAATTTTTAATTTGAAGATTTCTAATTCTAATAAATCACTAATTTATTGAAAATATAAAGAGTTGAAAGTTTTTAAACAAAATTTATTTTGAGAATATCCTAAATGTAGGCAATTTTTTTCAATATACACTTTTTCAAATTGTATGAAATAAATTTCACTTTAATTATTGTAAAATTTTTGGAATTACGTAAAAATACAAAACATAAATATTTATTATAAAAGTATATAAATTCGATAGATTGATTTTCATATAAAAATATTTAAGTTTGCAGTTTTATTCTATAAGATTACAAGTGTTTAAGCAAAATGAATGTTTGTATATAGACACCTAAATATTTTTAAAAATAATTTTATTTTCAAGTTGTTTTTCACCCTTTTTCTTATTGAATTATAATGATTCAGAAAAATAAATTTTTTAAGTAAAATATTAGTTTCGTACTTATATGCATAATTACTTGCAGGTAATTAAGAACCTTTTTAATAAGTTATTAAAAAAGCTTTAAATTTCACCTAAACCAATAAGATAAAGAGGATTAACAATTTAAAATGATTTTAGAATCAGAGATTCTTGGAATCAGAAAAGATTCTTATGATTCTTTAATCCGCTTAAATGGAACACAACTAATCATAATTAGGTTAATTAGTTTAAATAAAATAAGTTTTCATGCTAATAATTCCATCGTTGTATAAAATATTTAGTTAATATATAATATTATACATAAATTTATAAAAATAAATTTTGTTTATTTATAGTTATTTTATTATATTGTTATATTAATATATATGTACATATATCAATAATATTTTGTTTTTACGAAATTGTGTATAATATTAAATTTTGGCAAAAGCTACATTTTTTATGTGCTGAGAATAAAAATAAAATTATATTATCTAGAATAAGAGGTGCCGTCGATTTTCATAAAGTATATGTGTTGTTATTTTTCTCTTTTTGCAAGGTCTTACTTATGTAAAACAATATTATCTTATTCGATTTAATATACATACATAATATTATAAATATATTTCACATTTTGTTTTTATTTTATTTTATTTATGGTATAGGAAGAATTCTTTACATTTATGAATTATTGTATACAAATATAATTTAATATTTATGTACTTATATGCATAAAGAAATTTCAAGTACTACTCATTTTGGGAGAATACACCAGTCACAACTCAAAAATTGTGTTTTTCGAGTAAAATGGCTTTGAAATTTTATTTTCACTTTGTTATCAAAAATTATTATTATCTTATCTCTGAAGTAATTAAAGGGGTAGCTGGTCACATCAAAATATTAATCTTATATAGATTATTATAAGAGTATGGGTGTTGTATATATATATGCATACAACACTTCTTTTTTATTAATACTGGATAATATGGTAAATATGTATAAGACAAAACTGTCTTAACTCAGAATTATTGTTAGAGTTTTAAATAAATTCAGTGAGAAATTTTAAAGTGATTTTTAAAGAAATTTGAAGTAATATATCTGAAGCCGAATTAATAAAATTTGAGTTAACATTTCCTTGAATTCTTTTATATTTTTCTATTTTAAACTTAACCATATTTTCAATATCATAGTACTTTTAATTCTCACCAAATTTAATTCCGAATAGAACCGAAATTTACGCAGTCATATATTTGAATACAGTCGATAAAAATATATTACACAGATTTCTAGTGAGATCGATTTTTGCTAAATCGATTTAGACAGTTTTCCTCTTTTCCTTCAGAGAGTTATATTAGAATAAACTAAATATACATATTATGTAATTTTATATTTAATATTTAATACATAACTATTTATATTCCAATTCATATTGTATATATTTATGTATATATGTGTGTATTTATATTGTATATATTCATGTATTTGAATGTGTATTCATTGTATATATATATAATATATTTCTAGAGTTTTTTTTTTTTGCATATAAAATTATACTTAATGTCCTTTTATTGATTTCCTGTAATAATCATTAATATAAAAATATAATAAATTGATATTGTACAAAATACAAAAAAAAATATCCAAAAATTTCTTTACATATATTTTTATTTGACATAATGTATGTATATGTGTATAGTGTTATATATTATATACTATACATATACAAGTATATTTATACATAAATAAAAATGTTTGTAGTGTGTGTGTACGAGTATAATATATAAATTATTATTTTCATAACTATGTACATTTTTTTATGTTCTTGCAAGCGATATCCAGCTTTCTAAATTTATTGTGATGACTAGTTATTTTATATATATAAGGTGCTGATTGCGTGCTAATACTACATAATCAGTGCAGCACGAGCAGCTAGTTTTATATTTATTTTTTTTTTATCTATTTTTATTTTAATACATAAATACATATATATATATATATATATAATTTTATATTTATTTCAATTTATATATATGTATATATGTATACTTATAGTATAATATCAAATTAATTTATTATATTTATGCAATAATTTTATTTTATTGAGTACATAATAGGTACAAATATAATGTGTATAAATGTATAAGTTTTATGATAATGCAATAACAAAGTTACATTGTACTGTAATATATAGGCATGTTATATATGCATGTATAATTATAATATTATGTAATATATTAAAATAAAATAAGTAAGTGTTTATTGTTTTTGAATAATAATTTGTACATATACAAGGTATTATATGTATATTATATGTATATTATTTACATATAATATGTATTTATGTAAAATATGAAAAACCGGTAATACCATTACAGTCAATATGTTAAATGTTAAGGAAATAATAGGAAATTGCCTCATATGTATTTATTGTTTAACAGATATAACAAAGAATGATGCAAAATGCTTTATATTGTTTTTTTTTGATTTTCTATTTTATTAATGTGACTTCATTCTTATATGTCCTTTCAGTTCATTAGTTATGATACTACATCGAAAGTTTTTGGAATATATAACATTAGGTACATGTACATATAAAAATTTCGATTATATAAAAAAGTATGTTTTGGGCAATTCGCTTAGATTAAAGTCCAAAAAATTTTTATATGTTTTCGTTTTATGTTTCGTTGGTTTATTGAAGAATAGGATTTGTCAACGACGGATTTGCAATAAATTTTCCTATTTTTAAATTTTAATTGTAATTGACTACGAATGCTTTCTTATTTAATTCTATGATATATAAACTGTAATTATGAAATAGCGTCATTATTATTATTTATTTAATGAACTTTATTCATTTTCTCAATTATTTAAAATGTACCTATATATTTCCAGTAACAAAATAAGGATGAAGAATGTTTTATTTAAAATTTTATAAACGAATATAGTTTTTTGAATACCGATGATGAAATTTAAATTTTATAGTTTTAATGGTATATAAAAAAAAATTTTATTACTATATTAGCCTGTAAGGCTATATACATATATATAATATATAGTAATAATTGTAAATGAATAAAAGTTTTGTTTTTTAAATTTTGCTCAATAAAGGGCAATAAATTTTATTTGTTGTGTTGTTGAAATTTATCGGAAATAAATTCGGAAAATGAGTTCCAAAATAATGTAAAATACTTTCTTTTTGTGCTTTTTTTTAGAAAATTTTGCACAATAAAGTTTTTTATGATATAAAGAACATTGTAAGTTAATTTCAAAAAATTTTATTCTGAAATTCTCAGAATGTTAGTGAAAAATTATACACTGCTTATAGCTATGTTTTGTTTAAATTTTAATTAAAAATTGTTCAAATAATTAATTTTCATAACATGAATTTCATTATAAAGTTTTATATATAAAACTGCTCAAGGTTAAATAGGAATATTTTTTTAAGTTTCATTGTAAATTTGGAAATATTTTTATTTAAAATGGTGTTTAGGTTATTGTACTAAATGGGTAACAATTAGTAATCATAATTGATTAATTTGAACGTTTTTCTAACAAATTGTGGCAGTATTCTATTAATAATTGAATTAACAAAATGAACGTGTTACTATTTTTTATTTGGTTATTATAATTAAGGACAAGAAATGTTTTTTTATATTATTTGTGAAATTTCAATATAATTTTACATATTGTACAATCATAGGCGCACCATAAGGTATTTTGTTCTATACTATTTTTAAAATATCACTGATTAACTTTTGCATAGCTTTAGGCGAAATTTCATTCTTTAGTTTAACGTTTAACGGCAAACTTATTGAAAATTGATGTTGCATTACAAACACAACATTTATAAATATACGTTATATGTATATGGAAGTTTTCAAGATTATAATTGCAATTCATTAATAATTGCAAGCTATTTGTTTCGATTCTTATTTTGTAAAAAATAATTAAGTGAAAAAATTTCACATTTTAAAATATTTACAAAAATTTAAAATTATTTTAATTTTCCAAAAATATTTGTTAAAATCTTTTTTTAAATTCTTCCTATAATTATTTGAACCACAACTTACAATTATACAATCTACGTAGTTTAATAACCGTTTATGTTATTCTGTACTTGCATAAGGTATTTACTTGCACTGTAACTACGAGTTCTTGTTGTTACCACATTATTTTGAGTGTATGTATATTGAATTTCTTATTTTCTATATAATGAATTTTTATTTTTGTTACGTGTATTTCATAAAGTATCTTATTTGTTATTTTTGATGTTGTGTTTTTCATTTATAATATATTTTTGTTTTTATTATTAAAAAATATAAAGAAAACATTATTGATTCGAAACTAAATGTACTTACTTTTAAAAATTGATCAACTGTTGTATCAACAATCATAAGGGGTCGCTGTATTAGATGAACAACACCATTTCTTACTGGTATATTACTTTTAACAATTTCTGCCATAACAACACCAACTGGATGTTTTGCATCACCTACTGTTGTAATTGATTTAACATACACTAAAAAAATTGATTTGTAAAAGAAAAATAAAAGAATAAATTGAAAATAAACTTTTTTGATTTTGTTTTTTATTTGTTTTACAAAGTATGTATATATACACACATGTACATGTATGTCATGTTATAAATTTATTTGCAAAATTGTTGGTTTGTATTGTTTTTTGATTGTTTAACAATTGTAAACTTTTCATGTACTTTTGATATAACTACATAATTAATTTTAAAAAGAACATATTTTTTGACAAATAATAACAATTTGAAAGAAGGTGATATGTGGTTTGTTAAATAGTTGGATAATTTGTTGTTTTATTATTTTATTTGCTATGTCAGTTTTAAGAAAGTCCTCAAATGCCACAAACATAGCATTGAGCTCTAAATTTCTTATGAAATTTAGAATAGCTGTTAATGTTCGATTTTCATTTGTCTACGCAAGTTGACCGGTTTTTTACGAAAATTTTACGTAAATCCCTTAATTTAATTTAATACTTAAAATTTAAAATTTTTTAAAATATTCTAACAAATTTTGTTTAACAAGTAACTATATAAATTTATGATTATTTATGTGGTCTCAGAATAAAGCATCCTTTCTCGTCTCAACACTTTTTGGCTTTTGTCTTGTTTCAGTCAGTTGTATCAGTTGTTTGTGTTTAAATTTTTTTATATTTAAAAATTTTAGAAAATGAAAGAATTAATTGAAAACAGCTGATTCCGCCTTTGATTTTAACTCAAATTTGTATTTATAGTTAAAACAATATTCATTTTGGAATAATATTTACTCTTGCCTCTTGCCTATATTACGATATTGTATTGTTCTATTTTATTGGAACGTTGGTATCAAATTACATTAGCCATGTTTACTTAATATATATGTACATATCCGCATTGTAAAAATAGGAAACATAAAACAATCAAATTATTTTAAATATATTTAGAAAAAAAAAAGAAAATCAACAGATTAAGTAAATTAATTTCATTGGAAATTTTCACTTTAAATAACGCAAAGGATAAACTTTAATTTTATGAGTTATAAATATTTTATGACTATTATGACCCATTTTCATTTGCTGTTAATGTTTTTAAAAAAAAAAAAATATCGAATTTTGTTTTTATTGTATATTTCGAAACCGATTATAATAATGTGCTAATAATAAAATGGGGTCATTTTTTAATGAATTTTTATGATAGTAGTTTTAGTACATGTTAGAAAAATTTGCTGTATTATGTAATATGTTTCTCTTTATTTTATATGCAATACAAATTCAAAAAAAAAATTATGTTATGTGTATATGTATATGTGTATATTATGAAGAACATGACGTTTCAATACCCTTATACAATATTAAAGAAATTTTTAAAAAAACATTATAGTCTCTTTCTTCTTTTCCTTCATAGTTGCAGTCATTTTATATAATTGAATTATAAAATAACTATTAAAAAGTGATAAAAATTACAAATTATCCTAGTCAGAGGAAGCAGGAGGAAAATTTTTTTCATTAATTCTAAATATTTTTAGTAGAGCTGTGGAGTAGAAGTGAATAACTTATAACTGAAATTTTGATCTGTATGAGTTCAAAATTTAGAAAAGTTTAATAAAGTTTTATTGAATTTTTTTATGTTTCTATAATAAGTGTAAGGAGTTTGTAATAAGAATTTTATTTTATACATATATATATATATATGTAAATGTAATGTTTCTGTATTAAAATAGCGTTAATTGCACATGCTAATTTTATTAAGAGATATAATAACGAAACAGTACAGTATGAAGACGGTATAGGAAGTAACAAATAAAAATATTTAAGGTAATTTTTACTATTTTGTACTTAAATTTAAATTTTTTTAAAAATATTTAAGAATGCGCATCAAGTGATATAGATGAACTCAAATTGAAATACAATCATGCTTTACTATTCATTCTGAAAGTAAAATTGATAGCTCTCTTTCATTATTCATTAGCAAAATGATTTTCAACCTCATAGAAATTAACATACGAATTATTATACATTTTTGGTTTAAATTAGTAGAAATGTTGCAGACTTTTACGGTTTTGTATAGTCTTCATGATTGGTCTATTAGTTATAAAATAAATTTACATTTAACTTAAAATTTGCAAACCTTATGGTTAAAATGTAAATTTAAAACAAACTTTTTTTGAATTCGAAAATTTTTATTTTAGCACAATATTATTTTCTTCTAGTAATTGTTTACTAATAAAATACTCGAGCACGATATTGTTTTATTATTGTGCATTGTATATTGAAAAAAAATCAAAATATTAGAAAAGTTGAATTAAACTGAGGCGACATTTTGGAAAAACTTTTCTGTTTTTTTCGCCATAATGCAATTTTCCATAAAAAGTTTTTTGATGTTTTCTTTTTACGGCATTCCATACGACGGCAGCCATAATTTAAATCTAGTTTTATTTGAATTTAATTTTTAGTTGCTTTTAAGAATGGAAGCCATAAGGTCACTGCTATGTTATTTTGCAATCGTTAATATTTTCTTATATAGTTGAAACAATTTTTTGTAGAAATGGCAGTTTTAAAAGAGTTTTAAGTAAAAATATACTTAGGGTCCTTTTAAAAAGTTTTTCTTCATTTTTTTTGTTAAATGAGGTTTTTCTGTTTTTAAAAATCTGGAAAAAAAAACTTTTTTTAAGCAAAAAATTATATGGAAAATGTTACATTAGTTTTTTATTTACAGAGTGAATTTTTTTATACATAGAGCTATTATTATAAAATGAAAAATAAATTCTGTAATTTTGATGTTTTAAAATTGTGAAGCGTTGAATTAAGCTTTACACAAATTTTTTTGAAAATGTTCGCGAACAGCTGAATTTATACGATTTATACGAATTTAATGGGCAGATATTAAAATAGTTTTGCTTGCTGTTGATTAAAAAAATATAATCGTCATACATATATGATAAAGATTATTTCGGAAACTCTTGGAATTTTTTCAATTTTTTAATTTAATTAGGGTTTATTATTGAGTAATGAAATTAATTGTAAATTTTCGCAATTTGTATGCGATTATCCTTTTATGTTCCACTAAAACTATTATAAATTCTAAAACGATTTACTTGAATTTTTAAAAAAATTTAAGAACATTTTACAAACATATAGTTACAAAGGGAGTTTTTACATGTTACAATCGAATTTTTATTAAATTTGAAGCATTTTTATTACTACATCATTTATGCATACAGGAATCTCAAAAATTTAAAAAAAATTAATAAATACAATTAATATATTGACACTCTATAATATCAAATTAAATGAAAATTTCCGAATTACTTTGTGCACTTCCGAACTCTCATATGAGCATTCATTTTAATATTAAAAAGTTCATTATTTTCATCTCAATTTACTATTCATAACAAAATTAAAGTGAATAGTTGAAAATATATTGTGATAACAGTTAAACGAGGATCATTTTGTACGCTACTTTAACTATTAGGAGCATTTTATAAAAAAAAAAGACAAAATTAACCAAAGCACAAATTGTTCATATTTTACTCATGGTAACCAGCATTCAAATACAATAGAAAATGATAAAACATAAAAAAATTAATTTAAACATTTAAACAACAAAAAATAAAATGTAAAAAGTTTTGGTTTTCCAAAAACCAAAAAAAAAACACTAACGCAAAAAATGTTATTTAGGTGTGTGTTTTATAAAACAAAAGTTTAATTTTGTTGTATTGTGTATGTATGGCCGTACATGTACTTATTATGTATATTCTATATGCAAAAAAAGTGAATTTAGATTTGGAATTAATTTAAAAGCATTTTTGCATAATGTTGATTCCACCGGTACCAGCATGAAAACGGAATCTTTTCGGTAGAAAAAATTTTGTTAAAAAAGTTTCTTTAAATTATAATAAAAAAAATGAAGTACTTTATAGATAAAAGGACTTAACGCAATGCATTTAGTTGTTTGGTGTTGTAGATAATCCTTTAAACTCCTTCATGCATATTATAAAGCAGAATTTGTATTACATCATTCATATAAACTAAATTTTAGTTTAAATTGCATTATAACGCAGAAAATTTCTAAATTTTTCAACTTAAACCTTGACTAAGCTCAAAATTATTAAGTCAAAATTAAGTAGTGGTATATATATACAATATTACAAGTACGGCAAGAAAAGATATGCATACATACGTAGAACAATTAGCGTTATATATATAAAGAATTGTTGATAACTTTATTGATGAAAGCATAGTAGTATAAAAATAGTGATTGAAAAACTGAAGATTCTGTTGTCAATACTTCAAAAATTCAAATAAACTTAATTCTCAATAATTTACACTTCTCCCTTTTACATTTTTCAAAATGAAAGTTAACCTAAAGTAAATGATTTTTTGATGCACATCGTTTATTTACTTTTCAGAATTTTTGCACATAGCAAGTGCGTTTTTGTTTATTGCATTTTAAATATGCATTATATGTCACACATTCATGCCTTTATTTTAAATAAAAACTTAGTACAAGAGGGAAACTTGTATATAATCTAAATAGCATATGCGTAAGATCTTGTATAATAAAATAAATGAAGTTGCTTTATATAGGGAGCAGGAAAACTAGATATCAAAAAATTATTAATGCCTCTAAATACTCTACGGAGTCGAATGCAGTTTTATATACAAAATATTTAAACAATATTTTATGAAAATTTAGAAAAAATATATTGCAATAAAGTCAGCCTTACATATATTTTCGTACATATTGAAAATATCATTTATTTTGGCCATTTAATAAAAATTACTTTTAGTCTGCTACGCTCTCTTTCTACATTCTCTGATTTTTGAACACAATTCAGGATGTAAAAAGGGTATAAAATCTACTTTTTCAATCAATAATCAAAATAAGGAATTGTAAAAATATTTTTGAATTTCAAAATTTTAAAGAAGTTTATGAGCATGTGGTTATAAAAATATTGCAACAAATTTGATCTGTATGTAATAAAGCTGCAATATCTTGCAGTATTTCTACAAGAATATAATTTAAATATGAAGATACTAATTTACTTCTTCGTACGGATTTCATTCCAATGATTTGCGTAACAAAATTGAAAAAGTAATACGAGTATATATAAATATATATATATATATATATATATATATATATATATATATATAAATATATATTGTATTTCGTTTATTTGAATGTAATCCTTAAGATTATCAGTTATTTTTGAACATAATAAATATATATGTGTGCTACCTAATAAAAAAATTGAAAAATTTTGTCCATATATGCGAAAAATTCTTTCAATAATAATAAAGTTTAATAAAATAATAAAGTTTTTTCAGGAATTAAAACTGCATTTTGAATTTATGCAATAAACTATATTTTTTGATGCGAAATTTGTTATTTCTTACGAATTCTAAAAATTTCATTACATAATGCTTTTACAAATTTTCTTGATAGAAATTATTTACTATACATTTTTTTTGAAAATGTAATGTTGTTTTTTGAAGGCTTCATATATCATATGTGCAATATGTAATAAAATCTCAACCAGTATAAAATAAATTCATTTAATCATGAATCAATTGTATTGTAACGCATTTCCTTCGAACAAGTTAAAAAAGTTCTCTCATCATTATACCAAAATATATCATGACTATTGCATACCTTCAGGATAAGAAGAAAAATTAGGTAAAAAATTATTAACATATGATGGGTCAATTCAGATAAATAAGTAGAGCTTTAAGTGGCAAGACAGAAGTATGGTGAATAGCAGATATTTTTACAATTTCGTTGGAAATGTGCTCAGAAATAAAGCATTCTCTTATAAAAAGGGGAAAATAAAATATATTTTTTTTTTATTTTAAAAATATGCTTGCAAATGTTCTTTTAAATATTTTAAAAATTTTTTCTATGGCTTTTCAATTAATTATTTACTGCCATTCAACAGTCAACAATAAAAAAAAATAGAATTTAGTTGTCATTTTTTATAATGATTAAAACTTATAATCTTAAGCTTTAAATTTCATTAGAGAAATTTTTATTTTCATAAAGTTATGTCTTTAAATATACAAGAACAAAAAGAGTCTATGAAATATTTTAGATTTTTTATACTTGTTTCTTTTATAACTATTTAGAGGCTAGAAGAATGTTGCTATATTATTTTTTGCAGAGAAATCATTAAGTAGAATTTTGTAGCATTTTATAAATTATACGGGACCAGAAAAAAACCTTGAAATATTTGTGAAATTTTTGTGCACGTAATAAAAAATTTATTTAATTATTATTTTTGCTTTAAATCAAGCGTCAAAAAAATCATCGATGTAAGTATATTAATATCGTATCATTAAAATCATATATTAGAATAGTCCAATAAAAAAAATTTCGAGGAGTTTAGGAGGAGCTAGTGGATGATGCAAAAAGCATTGAAATTTTAAGAAAAGAATGGAAAAGAAAATGTATTCTAAATATATGCAATTTTTCGTAATATCAATTTAAGTATGTATGTAGCAAAACTATAAAAAAACGTGTATAAATTCGAATTTTAATAAATCATTTATATAAAATTCCTTTAAATACTGATCACGAATATAAAACTATTCTTGTTTTGCAACATTTATTTTTCGCAATACGAAAATTTTGATTATAATTTTTGGATTTGATGTTAAAAAATTATTAAAACAAAATTTTGAACCAAATTTTTTTATTATTTTGGAATGGTTATAAGAGTTTTAGAACAATGAACTAAAAGTAATTGTTTATTACCGACAGTTTAGTATTACAGAAATTTTATTAAATTTCAAATATGCAATTCATATAATTTTCAAAAGAAACTATGATAAAAGATTGAATGAAAATATTACAACACCTACTAAACATTCAATAAGGACAGGTCAGTTTACAAATTTTTCCTTCAGTATTCTATGTAAATATTTTATTTAAAAAATAATTTTAACTTTAATACTTTTTTTACAATTTTTATTATTCCTCTTTTATTTTTTCCTCTTAAATATCCCCCAATTTGTTTTTTTTATTTTTTTTTTTGCTTTTTATTAAAGAAAAACTTTGTTCCAAAGTTTTATTTTCACAAACAAAACATAAAAACTAGAAAAACTTTATTTTATATTTTTATAATTTGCTTGAATTAACAACATACACGGATCTATTTTATAATGTTTAAAAAAGAAAACAAAAAAAAAGGAAAACCAGGAAAATAAATGAATATATGTAAAATAAAAAAAAAAACATAAAATTTAATATTTATAAACATTTAATCAAATTAACAATTCCTCCTCACATCCTTAACATTATTTATATAGCAACACAAAAGAAATTTTCATTCATTATTCCTTATTCAGGATATTTTGTACTTACTTTTATTCTCTTGCATAAAAAAGCTAATGGTAACTTTAAGATTGTCAGCATAAGCTTCACTTGTATAACGTGAATCTAATGGTACTGCTGATGTAAATAAAACATTATTTGGTATAACATGACCATCAATAACTTTCGCATCAACAAGTCCGCTACGTGATGTTGACTATAAAATATTAAAAATAAAAAAGAAGAAAAAATAATGACAAAATGAAGTGAAAAAAAAGAAAGAGAAAAGAAAAGAAAAAGAGAGAAAATAAATTTTCAATGGGGAAAAAAAATTTTCATTTTCAATGCTCATAAAAAGAGGAAATGTACAAAACAAAAACAAAAAAGAAAAACAAGAAAACGTCAAAAGCGAATATAAAAATTAAAAATAAACTTGATCACAATGTTGACAATGATAATGATATCATCGTTATCAATAACATCATTATCATTCATCAGCACCATCATCATTATCACCGGAACAATCATCTCATATAACAATTACGTATATTATTTTATGTTCTCCTGTACAACGTTTTTTTGAAGTACAGAGTGATTAAGCGTTGGTTAAATATTAAAAATTCAAAGAATTAACTGTAATGTAAATTTTCACTTACATATATAAAAATGTTGTACAGAATTAAAGAAAGATAAGCTTTTATTATGGTACTAAATTATTTGGAAAATGCGTCTGTTAAAATATGATTCAACAATACAATCCTATTACAGAATAAATTATTTGAAATTTATTCAGATTTGAAGCTCAAGTGAGTCGGGCAATAACTGTACTTTTATCATTTTTCAATATCATGAGCTTCACTTGTATCAATAGTAATTTGTAAATAATACTAGATTATTTGAAATTTAGAATAATATCAAGGAATATAGTATGGAAGATAATCCTTCAAAACTTTTAAAATCTTAACATAATAATGTCGTAATTTTAATGTTATCATTAAAAATTGGTCTTTCAAACGCTAAAATGCCTTTAAAATTTTAAGCCAACGCTTTTACATGATTTTTAATTTTATTCTTCTTATCTTTGTAACTGAATTTCCATAGGTACTTATTTTACTGCTTCTTAAGATTTTTTATAAGAACTAATCAATTATTTTACTTTTTTTCAACGTAACACTCTGCCCAAGCTATTTTATACAAGTATTATAATAAATTTTCTATTTTACCTTGAATCCATCATCGACTGGCATCAAAAATGTATGTCCACCTGGTGAATAAAATAAATTCTCCTTTTTCATCAATGTCACTTGTGAGCGATAAGTCCTAAAGTACATAGTAAAAAAAAAAGAAGAAAAATTTTATTTATTTTTCCTTTTTGTAACAAAAACTAGAAAAATAATTTAAAAAATAAAATAGAATGAGGTAACATGAAAAATGTATTTTCGAAATAATATCGGGTTACCAATATAGTTTTCTAAAGCATAAGAAAAAACTGGGAGATAAAAAAATTAATAGGGAATATAAGATTTTCTGTTGTTTTGTTGCCATGTTTTTTGTTTTTGATTTTTAAACAAAAAGCATGTAAATAAATATCTTGGATTTTCAAAATGAAATTCAACGATAGTGTTATTTAATAATGTGGGAGAAGGAGAACAATCAGTGAATATTTGTATTATTGCTATTCTTGTAATTAAATGTAATGTACATGAATCAATCTTCAACGTACAAATTTATTTAGAACAAAAATTTTAGAAAATATATAAAATTCTTGATGTACTTTATAGAGATATGAGAGGTGCTTAACGAAATTTAATTATTTTACTTAATTACATTATTTCAGATTGAAATGTGGCGGCATTATCAGTTGAAGGATTTTATTATTATCTTGCCAAAGGTCAGTGTAGCAAATACTCTACATGGAAACTTTTCCATTTAATATAAAAAATAAAATTGAATTAATTTTCAAGATTATTTAATTTCAACCTTTTTGTTCAACTTCCTTTCAACTTTTTTATTTTATAAGAGGCACGTGTTAATTAAGAAAATTATCTGAGTACAGTAAAATTAACAATATGTACAACATATACTGTTATTAACATTTTGTGAAAACTAAATGTGTGCAAAAAGAAAATTCAAGGAAAAAACTTTGGTAGAACAATAAAAAAAAAATTTCTTTTATTAAGACGCAAAATTATGTTTTAAGCATAGAGGGAAAAAAATTTCCTTTTTCTCATTTTTGTTATTTTGTTTTTCTTTTCTTTATGGTTCGTTTTGTTAACGTGATTAGGTTGAATCGATTTATTTTCTCGTAATTGGAACAGTTAGGTATATTGTTTAATTTTATATTTTTTTTCTTTTTATTGTGTTTGCCTTGTTATATTCAAGAATATAGAAAAAGTATATAAAAAATGAAAGAAAAAAGATAACACTGTAAATATTGATAACGGCATGAAAATAAAAATTGAAAATACAAAAGTCACTGGGTCAGATAAAATTTCATAAATAAATATTATATAACTAATATAACAGTTATATAACAAATATAAAGAATGAAATCGCTCATATATAGTCAAATATTTATGTGGATGTACTATATATTATGGGTATTATATTGCTATATATAAGGTAAATGCATACTTTTATTATTCGACTTATTAATAAAGAATTTATAGAAGATATTCACGTGGGGTTTAAAGTTTTGAAAATTTTTATAATAGGATTTTCCTTTTACTTAATAATATTTCGAATATATTTTATTTACCTATTTATATGGGCGGTACAATATTTGTATGTATATTTGTTTAACTTAATCAAATATACTGGTGTATATTTGAATATTTTTGTTTTTTCTGTATAGATGTTTATATAACAGAATAATAACAGTAATAATAATTTTATAGATGAAAAATGCGCATTTTCTCATGTTTCTATATAAATCTAAATATGTATATATATGTATATACATAAAATTTCCGTTTTAAGTAGGTACTTTGATTTCGACAATTTTCTCATCAAGGTTTTCAGTTGAAAATTTTATTTAATTCTTAGAAAATATATTTATTTTATTTTTTGTGTCTTAATTTTATTTTCACTTTACTTATTATATATTTTGGTTCAAAATTTTTCAGTACCTCATTATTAAATTTTGTAGTCGTTTATAATACATTATATAGATGAGTACAAAAGTGAAAGAACTTTATAGAGATTGTTGTGGTACAAAGTAATAATTTTTAAATAAAAAATTAAACAAAATAAAAATTTTCAATAATTCTTTTAAAATTCTTAAGTTCTCCTCAATTTGCCTGATTTATATGTGTTCATCTACTTAAATTTTTCTTAAAAAACTGCCTCTATAGTTTTTGTTATTTGGTTTACAATATTTTTTATACAAATAAAGAGTTTTACAAATATTTTCAAAACAACTGTATACAATTTCGAAAGTAAAACAATTTGTAATTTAAGTTTTTTGTAAAATTGCCCGCAAATTTGTTAATATAATTTAATATTATAATTAAAATATATTTTCTATTGGAATCGGTAAGTATTGTGTGCGCACATTTGAAATATTTCTATAATAAACAATAAATGTTTGGAACAAACTAATAAAAAATTGAAATTTTCTTATTATTTTTCTTTAAAATTGGGGAATAAATCGGAAGTAAAAGAAGTACTTTCTTTTTTGTTCACAAAAATTTTATCATGGGAATTCTATTTATATTAAATGTTTGTTAAAAAACGAGTGGTACTTAAAAAAATATCATATTTTTACAATACGTAGGTACATAAGTATTTAGTGAACGTTGATATGGTCAATTATTTTATGAAAATAATATGAATTGAAAATATATCTTTTAAAATTGTTCTTTAAAAAGAAAAATAATAATTTAAGTGGAGTATTTGTAAATCTTTGGAGATTTTTAAAATTTTTTCAATTTCTAAAATTTTGACATCCAAAGTTTTATATTTAGAATAGCCAAAGAATTATCGATTAAAATTTTTAGCCCAAAAGTTTATAATATTTCAGTTAAAACAGAAAATCGATTAAAATTTAAGATATTTTTTTATACCAGACCTACATTTGAAAATGCCAACCTTTATTTAACAAGGTTGACCTTTATTTAAAAAGCATTTCACAAAATGAATTGATTATTTTCCGAAAACTTCATAAAAAATCTTGAAATCTTACAATTTCATTAAATTTTTGACAATACAAAATTATTAAACTAATTACATGTTTATGATTTAATTATTATTATTATTCGTAATAATTAATAGTACTTCAAAAGGATTATCAGGATATAAATTAAATTTAATTGCATTAAGAACAATAGAACATTGTCAGTCAAATGAATTACTTAATTTTGTGTTCTAAATCATATTATCTAAGTTTCCTATCCTGTAATTATCCTTTCCATTGTTCTATAATTGTATTTGTTTACATGAAAATACAGAAATTTTAATAAACGAATAATTTGCAGTGAATTGCAAAATTTAATTTTACTAAAATGTGCGAAAGATGAACGAATTTGATATGAAAATTTTTAAATATAATTGTATATTTTAATTTAAATGTTACTAATTGCCTTCATAAGTACGGCAAGCCCGTAATTATAATTTAAATACATATTAATATAAAAATGACAACTTATGTGGTTTGGGCGGTAACTAATTCAATTTTATTTATTTATTGATAGAGAACATTTCACTGATTCAAGAGCATGTCGCACATTGTGTTAAAAACTAACGGTTCTAAATCGATCATATGCTTCAGAATATAAAATCACAATGGAAAAATGTGACAATTATTATTGGTCAAAGTTACTGCTTGTTCTAATACCTGAGACAAAATTTTCTTCAAAATTGAAATTTTTAAATTTCTCACCACTTCAAATATTTTCAATAGCTTTACTATGCGAAATAATTGCATTAAATAGAAGGAAAAACTTATAATTTTAGTAATTCTTTATTTCTTTTGTATTAAATATGTTATGTATGTATGGATGCTTTTTGTTATCTCATTCAGTCTATGGTTAATTGAACACTTTTACTTTAGCTCTGTGTGCTATTTTAATTCCCTTTCCTGCTCAATGTTTTTCTTCTTGTTTTTTTCTTCACTTCAGATTACAAAATAACAAAATTATATTTTTTGATTAAAAAAGAGGAAAATCCGGATAATAATAAAGAAATCAAAAAAGAAGAAAATGAAAAACAGGAGAAAATTAGATAAGAAAACAAAATGGAAAATTTCGGAAAGTAATTGTTGTTGTTGACTTTTATAATGTTTACTTCATAATGTGTATTTTGTTTTTTTAGCCTAATTTGGTTTTCACGTCACTTTGGAAAGAAAAACTTTGATTAGTTTTACTTTTCATTTGATTATAAATTATGAAATTCTATTTTAAAAGAAAGCTAAAATATTTAAATCACAAAATAAAGACTTTTGCTCCTTTTTCGAAATTTTGGGAATAATGTATTAAAAATTATAGTTTTTTTATGGTAGCAAACACAATAAACTAAAAAACGACGTAAGAAATTTTAATAGGTTCAGGAAAAAGAAAAAAAAATTTGCTTTAGTCCTATAAGAATATAGAAATTTGTAATGTATTTCAAGTAAATATTTTATAGGTGTGACGTAGAATATAAATTAACCATAAAAGATCAATAAACATTTATATTGAAAAGCATAAAAACTCTGATATATACTTGTTTACAAATAACCTATACAACTTGCTTCTTAGAAATACTCGAAATATTATTGAATTTATTTACTTAAGTTCAGCCCCAATTTATCACAATATTTTATAATGTAATGTAGCTAATATTATTTTAGTTAGAAAAATTTATTTTATTAAAGCTAAAATCCTAAATGACTGTGTATAATATAAGTAGTTTTTTCGCTTTTATATGTTATTCTTACATTAGAAATATAAAGGACTTCTCTTATTTTTCTCTTGTTAAGAAAACAAAACTCCTATGATGACGCAATTTTAACTTTTTTAGTAGTTTATATTTACGTGAATTATTATTTACATAATTATAAAGAGTTGTTTTCTAAACACCCTTTCCACACAATATAAAACATTTCTTGAATTCTTTAAGTCATGTCAGATTATGTTTACATTTCCTTCTATTACAGCACATATTTGTATAACCTCATTATGCTATAACATGCTGGTGTATGCGTAAATAAAACATTTTTGACTTTAATAATTTAAGTATGGCATTAATATACAGTATTAAAATTCACATTAAATGGGATTAGACTTATAAAATAAAACTTTAGGCAAATTTTAAGTAAGTAATTATTAAAATATTTTCCATAAAATTAATTTAAAATTTGAAATATGTTAAAATAAGAAATAGTCATATAAAAGTAAATAAGTACATATTAAAACTAGGATTGTTTTCTTTATTAAATGGAACACAGTTGTATTTCAGAAGTTCTTGACAGATTGAAAAGTTTTAATATATTTGAGAAACTTAATCAAGTAATTTCCTTTTTTCATTTATGATTTCCCAAACATATTTACAAATATTCCTGATTTCTTAAGAAAAGTCATTTCCCTGTTTCAGGGAAATGACTTTTCAGAAAATCAGGAAATATTATAAAATTCAATAACAATAACATTGTTATACAAAATTAATACAATTAAGACATACTAATTAAAATGATAGCTAATAAATTAAATTTAGAACATTTTAAAATAAATATAATTAAAATAGTACAATATAATTAAAATATATACGAAGTATCAATAAATTTGAATGGGTTTGCTCAACAAATTGTTTACCTACAAGTCTGTCATTTAATTTCAAAACATTATTTTGCTACAAATTAAACAGTAAGTTTAAAATTCACAAAACATTGGATGTATGTATGAATATTGATAATATATCTGTCGTTGTAGTTATATACTTAATCTTTTCAGTTAACATTAAAGTTACGGTATCAACAGTAGGTAAAGAAGCACACATTACTATCTAAATGTGTATTTTAAAAGTGCCCTAAATAATATGAGTTTATTTACATTGTTCTTATTTATTTTGAATAATACTGTATGTACTTATTGTATAAGGAAAATTGAACGAACAATAAATTAAATTGCTATATATACTATTTGTATATATATTTCTGTACCACAACAAGAATCGTTATATTTACGCGAGAAAGCGGGAGAGAAAGAGTGAAATTTACGAACATAATTTTGTTTGCTTATCCCAATAATTTTGTATTGTATATTACGTACTGTATAACACTTAAATAACTCGATTACCATTATGTTGCGTTATATATAGAGTATTAAGTGTATTTTGTTTATCGTTGAATATTTTAGCAACATCTATATACTAAATTTTGTGCTATACCGTTGAAATTTGTTACAAATTCATCGTTTTAATAAATTCTACTTCGATTTAAAATGTTATCCTTAATATTTGCACCTATGTATAACAATTCGACTTTCAATTTGTGGAAAGAAGTATTTTAATATTTTCATTGTGTTATTTTAATAGTTTTAATATTTTAAATCCTTTTAAAAAATTAAATTTTAAAGTAAGAATTAAGTTTTTAAATTTATATATTGAAAATTCTGTTAAAATTTTGAAAATTTTTTGAGTATGCTCTATAATAATATTTAGATTTAAGTTCACGTATTGCATATTTACCACTAAATCTTTATAGGTAAATATAGCATTTTGACTAGCACAAAGATGTGGTAAATCGGTTCGTAAAATAGCACGTTTCTCTTAAACAATTTTATTGTAGAAATTCCATCCTAGAAAGTACGAGTATTATGTCTATAGAAGATGAAAATAGTGTTGTATTGAAATAGGTTCCTACTATATCATAATAATGTAATGGTGCATGCGTTTAGAATAAATTTTAAAGTAATATACCTTTCGGAAAAAAGGGAATCGGAAAATTCCATTTCGCAAGTTTAGAGAAGTCATAACTCGGGAAAAGAAATTTTGGTACTTTGAATGTCATATTACATTATGTATGCAAATCTCATTGAATTCAAGTTCATATAATTTGTTAAAATTTGATGCCAATCCGAGTTACTGTGTTTGAGAAAAAATTACTTCAAAAATAGGTGAAAAACTGGTTTGAGGTTAAATTGTAATCTGAATTTCTGGCATAGAAAAAGGAATGTTATATGTTAAATTATTATTTATTTTTTGGGTGCTACTACTCTTTCATGAATTCCAACACGTCATAGTGTTATGCATGTCGTTTGTTACGATATTATATGGAAAATTATAATTGGTGCGATATTATCAGTACGATGATAGTATAGTTTCATTTTGCAATATGTTATTATAATACAAATATTTTACTATAAATTTATTTCAATTATATTTATGGATTTTTCAATGGATTTCGTGTATATTACTATGCATGTTATACAACGAAATTCGGGCTAATTAATTATATAATCATGGAATTTTGAATAAATTTTGTTATATTAAATGTATACAGTGTCATATAATTAAAAGGTTAAAATTAAAATAATAAATGTTTAAATTAACAGCACGCAGTAGTTATAAGTTTAATATTATGAAGAGTACTTATTAGGAAAACTTTGTATTCAGTATTTCTATGATTTTGAAATCAGTGAGTAAATCAGAAAAAATTTAAAATAATGTACATATAAGTTAATTACTATTTGATATAAAAACTAAAACGATATAAAAACTAAAAAGATGTCTGTTTGGCTATCTGTCTGTCAGTCAGTCTGAATCTTTGCTGCGGTTTGATTTTAGATTTAATATTATACAACTTTTTAACAAGGCATAGGGTTATAAACTGCTCACTTCACAGCTTTGTAGAAAGCCTTTGATTTGGGGTTCTTAACATTTATTTTTTTCAAATTAACATATTTTTTGATATCGTAGAGAGAAAAATATATTTCGGAGAGGTTTTTATACCTTAATTTAACCAAATTTTAGTCATTGAATCGAATTTGTATTGGTTACAATTACCCAAATTCGGAAAATGAATTACTGTAACAACATCCTTTTGTTTTTAGTTAGTCTTGGTAAATTTTCAATAAAATTAAAAATTTGAAAATAATATTTTTTAGTTCCTGGAAAAACTTTTTGTGGAAAATATGATAAAATAATTTTTTAATAAATAACAAATAGAGGCAAAAACGCTTATATAAAATATAAATGCAGTAATACAATAAAAGTAGAGGAGTTTATTAGAGGTTGATTTCATGGGTATTGTCAAAATTTTAATTATTATGAGCATTTTTAGAAACCAAATGATTTGGTATTTTTAATTAATTTCGTTTTTCGATTTCAATAAAAATTTTATTTAAGTGTGGTTATGTATAAGCGTAATCAAATACCTATTGTATTGATACTTACATTTCCAATTAAAATAATTTTTCAAAAATTTAGTTAGAAATGTTTTTGTTTTATTTGCCTTTATTTCAAAATATCATTAGAATTACAAACTTTATTTATGTTATATTCCATAAATTCCATATATAGAAAGATAAAAATTACATTTGTATTTTAATATTTAGTAAATTTTTGGAAAATTCAGGGGATATTCTTAGAATTATAATATTGAAATTTTGTTTCAATATTATATTTTTAAATTATTTTTACTAATACAAGGTTTATTTATTGACGAATTAAAATGCTGTATGAAGTTTTGTTTAATTAAAATACTTTTTGAATGACAAAAGATTGGGAAAGGTTACAAAACGTTAATTTTCATTGGAACGTTATATGACAGTATCAACCCATGCTTTTGTTTTATAAAATGATCAATAATATCATAGGCTTTAAATTCAAGTTTAAATTCAAGTAGTTTTGAACTTACTAGAAAAATTTAGCACTTTTGCTAGTTAAAGGTGGTTTGGGTTATATATAAAATTTAAAATGAAAAGTAGAACGCGGTTTGACTAATGTTGATGTAATTTGAAATTTGATAATAAACAATGCTGTAAAAAGTCATGAAATTGTCTCAGAAGAAGATTTTGAGTTTTTTAAAATTTTACTTACCTTAAGCGATGGTTGTCGATGTTCATAAAATCTGCATTTTGCAGAAATAAGAATGCATCCGGATTAGTTACTTCAGTTTTAGCTGTCTGTAGTGTAACCAGTGGTTCTAAAACATCTTCTAAGACGTGCATAACCTAAAAACAAAAAAATTTTTAAATTATTTATTACTGGTTCAATTCATTGAAAAAATAATTTTTTTTATATAGTTTTTCTCATTTAAGATAAATTTTGAATTTGTTTTGCCAGTTTACAAAAAGTCTTGTCGGATTTTGTGTTTTCATAATCGATTACATTCAATTCTACATTTTTATAAGGAAGAATTATAATCATTTGATTTAACAACAATATTACACATATCGTTCGATGGGGAGTATAAGGAAAAAATCAGAGAGGAGGCTCTCTTCAAAGACTGTGACTGGCCAAGGAGCTTCTGGAATATAATGACCATTTAAGAAGACTATAGGGTTTTATAGGAGCACTGTAGACTTAGGGCACATAGAAATTCTACTAATGCCGAGTAAAAAGTACGTAAAAGAACGTTAGTGCTTAATGATAATACGAGTATGTACGTGATATTTGGTTTAACTTCAAATAAAATGCATTATCGGTAAAATATCGCTGAATTATATTTTAAAGTAAATTTATGAAATATTAAAACTTGCATATACCAAAAAAAAACAAAAAGAAAGTTTGGATCAAGCCAATGGTTTACAAAGTAATAAAGTAGAAAATTTCCTTTGAGCACAACTTAACATAATATTTTGAAAATATAGTCAGCTAACTATAGCTATTTAAAATACTTTCTGAAATGTACCAAATTATTTCAATTTGGGATGAGCAAGAAATGAAAATCGAAAGACGCGTTAATACTGACCCGAATGAATTTGAGGTGGTAGGAAATCCTGTGAATTTAATAATTTACTGTACTAAACTTCCGAGTTTCCTACAACTTACACCATATAGAAGAAAAACGATATTAAAAATTCTTCAAAATGAGTTTAAGATAACGATAAATTTTAAGCGCCATTTTGTTATGGTAATGTTTCATTATATTGTATCAGATGAAAAGAAGAAGATGTATTATAATATCCAACTTCTTTATGTAAAATTCGACAATAATTCGAAAAATAAGTACATATGCACTTAGAGTATTTCTAATTATTAATGAATTAATGTTCCATAATACATTCATTGATTACATATCCTTTCACAGATATATTTGCGTTTTTATGCTTGTACGTTGTATACATATTATATGTATACATCATTACTATTTGTTATGAAACCAACATATGTAACCAACATATGAATGTGTAAATTTATGTACTTATGTAATACATATGCACATTTATAATAGGCCTTAAAGATTAATTAAACTCAAATATAATAAAAGTCTATATTTAATTTAGAAATTATTATTATTTATAAAGTCTAAATATAGAATTATTTGTGCCGGTTTATACTTGCTTATAGATATTAAATACAGTAATCACGTTTCGATATTTAAAAATAAAATGGCTGAGTTTTAAAAAGCTAAATCACTGGGAAAATAATTTTATATATTAATATATGTATGTAATAGCATTATTATAAAAGGGAAAATTAGCTTATTTAATTTATGCTTTTAAAATATATTTTTAAAGCTTGTATTCTTTTTTCTTTTTCATTATTATTAAACTTAATTAATTAGGTAATAAAATAATCTAATGATATTAATTAATATTTTTTAATCAGTAAGCGATTATTAATTATCATCATTATTTTCACAAATAATATTTTATTTCTTAATAATATCCTTAATTAAGTGTATTAAGTAAAAGAAAATATTTTACGGCATGTATTTTATAAGAATTAAAACCACAAATTTACGTAATATTTTATAAGTTCTTTAGAATGGTAACTTTTCCAAGTAAACTTTCTTATGTAATAAAATAAATCTTAATATAATAAATGTATAAAAAATAAGAATAAAAATCATATAAGACCAAAAAAGAAAAGGAATAAAATATTGAAAACTCAGGTGTTATAAAATATTTTTCTTTTAACCTTTGATATTTTTATGTAAGGGAAATTTACTTTTATATTATAAAGTATGATATTTCCGTTTAATATAACTGTTTTTATATAATATTTTAAGTATATATATATACTTGGCTAGGATTTATAATGAAATATGAAGTGAAAAAAAATTTCAAATTAATTTTAAAAATCTTTGTATAATAGTATAGATTTTCTACGGGGTAATCTTTACTACACTTGTAGTATTTAATAATCATTTTTATTCTTACATGTAAATTTTCTTTTAACGTTTTAATTCCAATCGATATTCGCAGTTGTATTGAGTATAATAACTTAATAGTTCTTCAAAATCCAATTCGTATGCTACTTCTCAACATTGGTATGCTATTCTTTATAAAATTAATAAAAGTCTCGAAAAATTTGTAAGCAGCTTAGCTACGCGATTTGAATGAGTCATTGTATTTATAATTTTGTAGTTTAAAAATTAATTATTTTTAAACAAAGAATGAAATTTTAATAATTCATAAGAGGTTTACTCTTACAAAATAAATTTTGCAAAAACATATAATTTGTTGCATTAACTGAATATGAAGTTGAATACTTATACAAGAACATTTTATATTTCTTTGTTGAACAGGATTCCCATTTATTGAGATTAGGCAATTAATTAAAAGAGTGAAAAATGAAAATTATTGAACGATATCAAATTAAATCAAATTTTCAACCAACTGAATACCAACTTGAAATCTTAAAATCATTATTATCATTTGAAAAAAATTCAGTTTTACTATTGCTAAACTAACAATAAGGAAATATATAATAAGAATAAGCATTTATACAATATACATTTGCATACGTCCCATATAATTTTCATATATTTGACAGACTTTGATTTTACAATTACAAAAAGATCTTATTGTCGCTGTAATTAATATAAAATTTGTACATCTGGTTTCAAATATTTTCTGAATAGAAAATCATCTTTACTCAAGAATAGAAGAAAAAGACAAATTAATTTTGATTATGAATGTATAAAAATCGTGTACTGAAAATCAATTCATTTTCTCATTTTTTCTCATGCTTACACTTCTTGAAGATTGAAAATTTTCAATTAGAAAAGTTTTTGCGAGGCAAGCGTTCGTATCATTCCATTAGTAAAATACAAAAAGAAAAAACAAAAAAAAGGAAAACATGCCATCTAAATTCAAAATTCTAAGAGTTTATCATTTTGATCAAGAAAAATAAGAAAAAGTATATGAAAACCAAAAATTTTCAAAATACATTCCAATATTAAAAAAACAAATAAAACAAAAAATCAAAAATCAACCAACAGAAATCACAAATTTTTTACACTTCTTAAAAGCTCATGATGATGATGTTCTAATAAAAGGATTTTCTCAGATTAAAGAAATGAAAGAAAAAACTTTTTGATCCTTTTTTCTTCTTATTTTATATTTTCTTCTTTTTTTTTTACTTTTTTTTTACCAGATTTTTTAATAACATCACTATATGCTATTTGAACATTTACGAGCATTACGAATTATTTAAAAAATCTTGAAATAAGAGAATCACAGTATCGAATAACATTTTGTTGTGTGTGTAATTCATTTTTACAATTTGTGCAGATTTTGTACACACACACACATATATAATATGTACGAGTATACATATTTGGTTGAGTATTGAAAATGGAAGTTCAGTTTTAATATACTCTTATTATATAGAAAACCAAAGAAATATTAAAGAGAAATAAGAAAATTAAATTTCCAATACGAATATTGAATAAATTTCTTAATAATCGTGAGAATTTTCGTTAATTTAAATTAAATTTTCTGAATTTTAATATAAAATATTTTTACTTGGAGAAATAAAAGATTTTATCTGTAGAATCTTATTATGTATTTTTATAATTTTAGTTGATGAAATCCGAATTATTTTCAAAATTCGAAACAAGTTTTGAATTGTTTTGAATAAAAATTAAAAATAAAATTTTTTGTAAGAATTGATTTTTTCAAAAGAATATCTAGAATGTTATTTGATAATAACATGTTTATATTAGCCTTCAGACAGGTTTATAATATATTCGCGTTTTATTAATCATTGCTTTAGATAAAATAAATTTCCTTTATGAAATTCAACTCCTGGAGTAAATATTAATATAATCTTAATATGTGGTCATGCACGAATCCAAATTATTAACGGCGGTTATAATGTAGCAACGCAATTTAAGAGTATTTTATGTCATTTATATCTATGTAAAATTTATCAAAATATATGCAATTATTATTATTCTAATGTATGTTTGAAATTTCATTTATTTTTAGTTACCTGCTTTTTTCCAATATCATTGTGCATTACAACCGAGCGTCCCTGTATTAAACGTGCATTGTTAACAAAAATATCACCTTCACGATTTCGTGTTATATGTAATGGGGGATTACCACCCATATCAGATACAACTGGTGTTGGAGGCTTCGGTAATTGATCCTTTTCATATGGTGTTGTAGCTAATAAAAGAAAATTTTTTCTTTATTTAATATAAATTTTATAAAAATATACAAAAATTTAAAATATATAGGCAGGATTTTTGACTCGAATTTAATATCCCGAAAAAAATGTTATTTAGAGTATACAAATAGAAGATTATAGTTTGGTTTTGTTAAATGAGAGAAGATTTTGTCAGGAAACTTTATAAAATTCTAAATTTTTTAAATATTTTTGCTCATTTCATTAAAATTTATTCACTTGAATTCAAAAACCAAACTACTCTATACCATTTATTACTTTCAAATTACCTTCATTATTATATTGATTATGTAGTAATAAAAACTAATATAAAGTAACCTTCACCACGTCAGGTTATGGAAGAACACTGAATTCTTTAAAAATGTGATTTTACTTTTCCTTACATTTCCACTCAATGTAACTTTTTGATATATAATATTTTAAAAAAAAAATTAATGAAATGGGATGTATGTATAGAATTCATGAGGATTGACATCTGTTCACCTACTCATTTATCAATGTTTCCGATACCCAGTTTTATATAAATAACATTAATTTAAAATAATTTAACGTGAGTTGTATATGGGTTACCAAGGAAAGAAAATATTAATTCTTTATCGCTATACCCTAAAAGCGAACATTTTTCTACGTGTGATTATATATATTTATATACTCGTACAAGTGTGAGTAATCATATTGATGTATTACTCGTAATACGAAATTGAATTTCAATACCTTAATTTAATTTGATTCGATGGGTTGTTCAAGATTTTAGTTTTATTTTTCTTTCCTACAAAGATTTTCCTACTTTTTATTGAAAATTTCTTGTATAATCATTAAATGTAAATAAAGTAAATTGTTTAGAATCCATTATATTATTAACCTTGTGCCGGTATAAATTATAAGATATAAATTAGTCAATATAGAAGAAAAAAAACACAAACAAATGTACCTATATTTTGGCTCAAGGTTAGTCTCATGTTAATTTTATGATTACGAAAATTATAGCTTACATTTTGAAAGCATAACGTGTAATATTATTTAGGTTTTTCGTTTACATGAACGTAAAACGTGTTTATATAATTATTAATGATATATATACCTGGCCATATATAATATGGCCAGGTAACCTTGGTTAAAAATTGTACCAATTTCAAATAATTTAGTTGTCAAAATGTGCTTGTTTTGTTTTTCTTTTTTTATTTGAATTGCAAAAGGAATATAAATCATTGGGAAAAAATTAAGAATGGAAAAATATTCAACATCAGGTTTATTTTAAATTGTTCTTTATGCTTATATGAACATAAATGAATGAAATTATATGATGAATTAAAATAACCTTGGATCAAATCATTGCTTTGAAAAAACACTTTTCCATTAAATAAGTTAAGCCCTTTAGAAAAATGATCTTTTAATTAAATTATTTTCACTGATATCTCAACATATCAAAGCATATTTGATTGTTGCATAATACATCAATTAACAACATAGATCGAAATAGATCTGTAAAGTTGGAAAAAAATAGAACAATTTAGAATATAGAAATTTAGGGAAGCTTACATTTTCAGAAATATTAAGTGGCGAAATTGAAAATTGAAAATAAGTTTAAAGATAAAACATGTTTTTCTATTAAAATAAATAATTTATTATGGTCTGCAAGTAACTAAAATTTAAAACTTTTAGAAAAAACTGTCAAAAATGCGGGAAAAACTGGTCTAAAACACCAGTTAATTTACATAGGCATTTTGTCACTGTTATATTCGACTTTTATGTTTCACGATAGAAAAAGCAAGTTACTTTTTTATTTATTTGTGCTGTTTTCCAAATTGACATTTCGACATAATGAATTCTCAAGGAATTTCAGCTTTGTATGTTACATAAGAAATGTGTTACTTTTGTTGTTCTAGCTTACTTTTTTTCTGAAAATTGTGTAAATTTTTATAATTATATGAAATTTAAAAAGACACATACGTACATAATTTAAATTAAAAATAATGTAAAAAATTTAATTTCGATTTTATATAAATGATTGCAATATGTTTATTTGGGTAATCTTATAAGTCCAATAAAAAGGTCATACAAAGAGAATACATTCAACTAAAATTTTTTCATAATTATGCTGTTAATCTTCGTGAGTTGTCTTCTGTGAATTTTTGGGATGTCATTGTCGCATAACGCTTTTAATTTTCCTTTGAATACAACTTAATTTTTTTGATACGGGATAAGGTGAAATAGTTTAGTAAAATTAAATAAATTGAAGAACAACGGAGTGACGGTATGAGAAATTCTGAGTATACTTTTAATGAAATTCTGAGTATACTTTATGAATTTCTAAAATAACATAAAAGTTTATTTTGCTTTGCAAAGTTTTTTTAATTTAAAGTTGTACACAAATATGCTACTGATATACCGCGTACTACCATTATTTATCCTGTGAAATTTATTTAATCTGCAGTATAAAAATTTTATATTTATATTTAATGTAAGTTTTGTCCACAATAAATTATGTTTGAGAAAACATTTCATGTATTAAAAAGGTAGTCAATATCACTAAGCTAAAGATACTAAACGAAATAAATACAGTAATAACAAAAAACGATAAGTAATATAAAGCCCCGAAGGGTATGCAATTTTTGTGCTTTAAAGTTTTGTTCAATATTCATCGTTAGCTTCTGCTTTGAAATAATTATTGGTTTTTATATTCAAATTTTCCAATAACTCAATTGAAGAAAAAAGATGATTTAAATATTGAAATGCATATATGGTCAAGCATAAGTCAACACAAAAATTTACTTCTCAGTTTAAATATTGGATAGAAATTTACAGAGCTGCTTTTGCAAACTTTTCTAGCCTAATTTAAAAATGATTGTTTAAAAGATATAATAAAGTTTAAATGAAAAAAGAAATTTTGCTTCGAAAACATAGTATGGACTATAATTTTAATTAGTATAATGAAATGAAACTTTCATAACGCTTAAAATTTGAACATATTTGGAAAGGAGGAAATTATTATTTGAAAATTTTTAAATTAAAATTATAATTGAGTTGAGTTGATCGATGCAAAAGTATTTTACATTTAACAATTATAGCGCTGTTTTAATGTTATATGCGAATTGTTAGACGATTTTGCTAAAATATGATTCTTCAGTAATATATTTATGGTATTGAGATACCAGTAACATGGGAAACTACTTTACAAAAATAATTCATAAATAATATTACTCTCTTGAGTACAATAACCGATTTTAAACTTATGTGACATAGAATAGAACCGCGTATCATAGAAATACAATCTAAAAACTGAATTTCGAAAAAGTTGGTTATTTAAACGTATTATTCTTGTTATTTTTGAATTATCTCTTTTTTTATAAAGTCTGTGAAATACAAATAACACCATTAAATTTTCTTAAATTCGTTCACTTTTAGTAGTTCTATGTCATGTAGACTGCATATATATTTACTTTTGCCACTGAAATGGTATTGAAAAAAACTATTTGAATATGATTGCTTTAGTTTTTCGCCTGAGAAACACAAGAAATGAAAACAAAATTCAATTAAAACCATTTCATAGTTTTGTTCTTGCTTGAACCAGAATTAAGGCAAGTAAGTATTCCTGAACTATTTTTTCCAATTTATTAGTTTTCACAGCAACTTAATCAGATTTAATACACCGAAGTTCCAAATAATATCAAATTTTTTAAACAATTTTTTTTTAATTTTTTTTCAAGGATCACAAAATAACAATATAAAAAATTTTAAATAGCAAAGTTTTGAATCCCTATACAAAATTATAAGTTAAATATTTCAAAAAGATTCATAAAAAGTAAATATTATATAACATAATTCTGCTCATAAATGATGTTAAACAACACACATAATATACATGTACATGTGCACATTGGTTCACAAATATTCTATCATAATTCTATCCTTATTATAGCTCACATAAATTCTATCCTCATTATAGTTTTTGTAACATAATAATTATTAAAAACCAAAATATTAACAAAATAAAAATAAAAGTGAAAATATAAAAATTCCAATAAGAATACGTTAAAATCAGTCAATTATAATTTCATCCCAATAATTATTGTGCTTGTTGTTGAAAATATGTACACATAAAATTATAAAATTCAAACCCATTCATTATATTTATAAATTATATAGAATGAAAGGACCCCACTGACATTAATCAGGATTATAACTTATATGTGTATATATTTGTTCCTTAATGAAGCCATTATGTTTTGGTGTTTTTATCGGTGTGTTTTCTTTTCTTTATTTTTTTATTTTACTCAGCACTTTATTCTTGATATTAACAAATTTACATACACATATCCTTTTTATATATAATCCATAATATAGTATTTGTTATACCATAATATATTGTTATATATTAGAGTGTATAAAAATATTTTTGAAATCATTATAAACCTTTTAACTTTGACTTTAAGTAAGAGAAAAAGAGTAAAACAAAATTTACAAAAAAACCGAAAATACAAGATTTTTTAGATTTTTTTTTATTTTCTTCTAAAAATTATTCACAAAATATTTTTTATATTTTCAAAATATGCTTGAAGTAATTTTTGGTTCTTTTATTATAATGTCAAACAATGTTAATTTAATGGTTGTTTCAAGTGACATGAAAATTTGTGACAGACGATATATTAATTTAATGTTTTAGGGTTGCCAAGAGTCAGTCGTGATTAGTTTTTTAAAAATTCTTCATTATTCACACTAACTTAAATTCAAATGGTTTAAGGGAATGACTTAAATTCATAATTATTATTTACTCTGTTTGAATCTCAACTTATTTAATTAATAATAGCAAAAATTTATTATTTATTATTCAAATATGTAACAGCTAAGAATATGCACAGCATCTTCGAATGTTTTGTTTAAATTTCAAAATGTTAAAGGAATAGTTTTTTTTTATTATCACTGGCAATGCTAACCAATATTGGTTAAAGATGTAAGTATGTGGAATGTATTTTGTAAAAAA